TCCAAGCTTCCATGGGCACCCGCGCTATGACTGTGCACTTATAAAACTCACTCAGGAAGTATCGGTCTTTGTTCGCCTTGTTTTTATATTCAGTTGTCAGCTTCTGGATGTTGGTTCCTTCGAGTTTGCACTGGTTCAGCCATTCACTGCTGGCATTGGTGCTTCTCGCAGGTTGGACCAGTGATCTACGACTTACTCGTGTCAAAGCCGTCCCAAGGGCAAGTTCAATCTTCATTCCAGTCCAGTCTTTCATTTGTGGCGCTGTTTGTTTCCCTGATCCTGATCACCGAGATGAATTCCTCGTGGTCGACCACATTGATAGTGACATGTTTGTGCGCATGAAGTCACGTCCAGCACGCCAGTGACGAGCTCCAATGTCTCGTCCATTTCACTTCCACCTCTAGCACCCTGAATCAGAACTACAATGTCCAGATATGTACGTGGATCTCTCTTTTCTTAACATCACCTCGTCTGACTGCACTCTGATTCAGCTCCACTCTCCCATATCTCCAACGACACAGCCATCTCCTCTTCCCGCACCATGACGTCAGGCAGCGTTCTACAAACAGCGCTCTGTTATCTGGAAGCTATCCGCACCAAGGTCCCAGAGTTGGTCTCACGGGAGAAGGGTTGCCCTGGGTCCACTTGCGAAAGGGAATCAGCTGAACGTATTGTCCAGGGTGAGGTCAGCACATTTTGCGCTGGCCTTGATGGATCTACCTCTTCTTCGCAAATGTCGGCAGGCAATCAATGGCTTGCTGGACACTATTCACGTCAACCCTCTTACACTTGAGGCCGAATCCACATTCGCAGAGCCGGTATTCGACGCAGAAAAAGTGTCTCTGCACCAATACTCAGCTCCGCTCTCCCATATCTCCAACGACACAGCCATCTCCTCTGCCCACACCATGCACTGCTCAGCTCCGCTCTCCCACATCTACAAGTTGATGCAGGGTCTGGAGCTCGCCAAAACACTCCTTTGTCGAGAAAATCTTAAGCGCGACTACACACAGCAAACGCTACAGGTTTGGGACAAGCACTTTGAGTTTGCCGAGCTCAAGCGCAAATTTCCCTCGTTGGGTACTAACTGCTACTGCGAACGCAAGCATGGGCTTAGGCACAGGCAGGGGTGAAAATCATCGAAATCATCGGCAAAGTTCGATGTGCCGTTCCTCGCTAACCGACCCTCCAAACACCTCCAACACCCCTCCCCCCCGAAACGCCTTCTCAGAGGACGAAGAGCTTTCATTCGACAAAGAAAGAGTAGCAAAGAAGCCCAAAAGGAACGTGACCACGGGTATGAGGACGTGGTGGAGGTAGGACTACATGCAGTACATTCTTCAAGCGCTTACCTGTTTGTTTTAGAATGCTTATCAACACCCAACATTTCCTTTCCACGACGTCACCAGTCTATGTACTGATATTCATGCAGGCGCATGTCAAAGCGATGCAACCGCCATCTGCCATTCCGCAAATGCGCATCTCATCAAACGGTGCCATGCGTCCTCCGGTTGTTGGGAATATTGCATCCCCCGAGTTCGCCTACTGTAGTGCAGCAGCAGCCCTCACCCCCTTGCGCCGCTTCCACGAACGGAGTCAATGGAAACCATGCTGGCACTCCTACGTCAGATGGCGATTCAGTCAGGCTGATCGCTGCACCAAACGGCATTGCTGCCAATAATACTGCAACACTTAATGGCACAGCACATCAATCCACAGACGTGCAGATGTCTCCCCTGCTGATCCTTCCCAGTCCAATCAGGCCGGCTCACCAGCGCGTCCCAAGGCCGAATCCCAGCATGTTCCGGTATCTGTCCCACTGTAAGTCCAAATTGTCGTGTTTTTCTATCTTAACTACACTAATAATACATGTCATAATAGCCATGGTATGGACACTGCCCTCGTGGTAGACTGACTCCTAGTTGGACCGATATCAGGGTGAGTCATTAGTCATTTGATAGTAATCGGTACTTAAGTCAAACGACCTGCAGCTTTTATTACATGTCGACTTTGCCAAGGCTGAACTAAACATGCCGCATGTCAACAGCAAGGACGGCAAGACGCTGCGGAGCAACTGGCCCTGTGCAGGGTCACGTCTTTATAACATGGAACCAGGCAAGTGAAATTGTTGTGCCTCATCTCCACTGTTCAGACTTAACTTTCTTGTGTCTTAGTTTCATTGTCATGCCCCAGGCTGGAGATTCCTCAGACGACTTCGCAGCAGAACTCGACGCTATTGAGGATACTGAGTCCGAATCTGGAAATGATGAGCAAGACAACGAGTTTGATGCATGGAGCAAACTCGACACCCTGAGGACAGTCTTGACAATTCCTCAGCCTGACGCGCCCATGCACGAAGTCCGCAAGGTGAGTTTACTCATGCTGCCATTCTCTTGGTTCGGTTGATGTAGCAGTTGAATCTCTAGGCACTAGAACTGGCACAACAAGCTTATACTGCGGTTCGGTCTGAGTTGCGCGCTCTCAAGAAAGACCATGCGATGCTTCAGGCTGCTATCCCTGCACGCAGCCGAAACCGAGTCCTTAAGAAGACATCAACCATCGACAATGACATTACCCGTGCAGGCAAGATGTACGCCATGCTCAACTACTTTTGGGTCATGAGCGGGCTCTTTCCGACAAAACCCCAGCCAGACGTTGATCCACGCAGCGATACGCGTTGGTCTTCGCCTGAAGCGAAGCTCAATGGTGCAATGGCCGAGCTATATCAGTGCATTCCCAAGGCTTTGCATAAACCGATGGAGACCTACCCACAGTTTGGATCAGTGGTATGTCCGATTCTCCCTCTGTCTGCGCATCAACCCTTATGCATGAGATACTCTAGTTTCGCGCTGCGGTTAGTTCCGAGAGGTCAAACATACTGCATAGTCTCAAGGACTGCGCTGGTCTTATCTTCTCTACTTTAAAACTCGACCCGACTGTCTTCACTGACGAGCCTGCCAAAAAGAAGGAGAATGCGCAACTTCTCACTCTTTTAAAGAAGGATGTCGGTGCAGAAAAGTATACACGTCTAGCCCCCGTTCTGTTCATGGATCCTTCTGCTCTCGTTCCAGACGACTTCCTCAAAACACCAGTCATGGCCAAGGTGCGCGACATTTTCAGCTGCTGTCGAGCAGTACATTAATACTAACTCCATCCCTCAGATCATCCGAGTCGAAATCTTCAGGAAGGCTTCACTGTCTGGGAAGACCAAAGGACATCCGAAGGCCAGGGGTCAGCGTTGGTCTACGCAGTGTGTCACGGAAGGTCTGATTGCAGGTGCTGCTATTGTGGTGAGTGCATTAGTATAATCTTCGAATTTTTGCATGCATGCTGATCTCGTCTCGTTCTCAGGCGCGTTTTTTGTTAACACATGATCAAGAGCTCACCGCAACCGGACCAGCCACGAAAATTGACTATGCACAAGACTTTGATTTTTACTTGGAGCAACTATTCAAGCGCAGCCCATGGGCTACGAGTGTGATCAACTATTACAACCAGGAGGTTTTCGGCATGAGCTCAGTCCTAGCTACTAGTGGTACTGCTACTCTACCCTCTGCTTCCCAACCTCACACCTGGGAAGACGACTTCTTACAGCAGTTAGAAGATCCTGCCTCCACACCACAACTTCCGTCATCGACATCTTCACACATTACTTATGCTCCGACATCTATGTCTATCAGCAATCCAGGAGGGCCTGCCACCACCACGCAACTCCAACTCGAAGTTGACATTGGTCAGCTGTCGCTCGATGCTGCTAGAACTGACTTGCCACCATCCGCATCTTCTGGCAAGGGTGGTAGGGTGTCTGCAGCTCAACGTCGAGCTATTGCTCAGGCTGCTCAGACTCCCGTGGACTCAGACGTGGTCCCTGTCATTCCTTTGGCTCCTCCTCCAGTAGTCAAGCGTGTTACACGCAATGGTGGTGCCAAAACAACAGCGAGGAAGGCGTCAGGGAGAAAGTAGTTACTTAAATTTGTTGATCTTGTCACCCTCTGATTTGTTTACCTACACAACGGAGTTTTTGCACCATGCAAGTTGATTTACCTGACTACCATATTGCACGCTGATGCGTCTCACAGCTATTAATTCTCGGATGCCCCGCCCAACAGCACATTGCGCACCTCTTGATTCAGCCGCATTCTAAGTCATCCCAATTAGGGTAGTATAATCACAAGGCCAAACAAGTTGAGCTTTTTTCTTATCAACGCTTCCATTAAGACTTCTTTCATTTCAACCATTTCCTCCTTTGAACAGACGTCGTCATCAGCTCCGAAAATTCCTTCGTCGACTACTGTAACATGCATCCGCTCGCACTGCATCAATTAATGCCACCCTTCAACATCATGGTAAGTTTTACTACTATTCTTATTATGCTGGATACCAACATACATAATTCTATCTTCCTTAGGACCGTCTTCCCAATAATACTCCCATTCACCTCACACATCCGCTCACACTCAGCTTCACCACTCTCGCACTGGTCCAGGATACCAACATAATTCTACCTTCCTTAGGACCGTCTTCCTACTCCCATTCACCTCACACATCCGCTCGCACTCAGCTTCACCACTCTGCTGGATACCATTGGCAACATAATTCTATCTTCCTTACCACTCGCACTCAGCTTCACTAATAATCTTGCACTGGATAGTACCAACATCGTTCTATTACCTTCCTTACCGCTGAATACTCTTTCCACTCGCACTTGTTTTTTTTTTGTTATTATTATTACTATTACCATTATTAATATTAATATTAATTGGGAATTCCAGCAAGAGCATCGAAATACAAGCGACGAGTCTTGAAATTGTCTGAATTTGCCTTGCTACCCTTTACAATGCTTACACTATCATTTCATGGCCTTAAAATGTAAGGCTCATCCCGCATTACCCAGGATCATTACAATGCCTTAACATAATTTGGACAGGCATTATAAGTGCCTTGAAATTTTATCGTACACCATTAACATGCATTGTAAGTGTGCCGTGTGAAAAGGTCCCTTAAAATGTCTTAAATTGAATTCGAAGGCACGCGGGGAAATTTCCGACATTGTGCCTCTTATATTTTGTTCTGAGTCTTGATGTATTTAATCAGCATATGCGAGCACAAAAAAATAAGAGAGCACTTACACTGAGATCTGGTTGGAGACTGAATTGCGAAATTTCTTCTGATTTTGATGGTATGCGGCGCCATACTTGATGTGATTCGCAAAAAGGAGCTTGGCGATGGCACCGTGGACATCCCCTTTGTCCTTGCTCGTGGGGTTATCATCAGCATCCACCATCTTTTTCTTCCCCTCCAAATAGAATAGAATCCTACATTCAGGGGAGTGAGTGGTTAGATAATTTACCAGGGCGTCAGTGAGGGCCGTTTCACTTTGCCATTGAATTGACATCTTGGGCCCTGGTACTACTGCAGGGCTGTTGAATTGTCCTTCGGAGGTGGATGCTCGAGGATCCATGACCCTTGAGCGTACTTGAGCGTTGGCTCGAAGTCGTGCAGAATGACGAACACGTTGGCGAGTAGCAGGCATGTTTTGAAACTCCGCCGTGCCATGCCGGACTGACTTTCAATCGAGGCCGAGTTGCTTGAGGTGTTGGAAGGTTTAGCCGTGCTCTAGGCGAGTTTCCAAAAAGTTTTGAAAGTTATTTTGAGTACCACTATAGTGGAAAAGAGCCAAAAACGCTCACAATCCATTTTGCCGACTTCTGCCATTCTGCCAATTGCCGTTCTGCCATTTTGCCAATTGCCACAAGGCCAATTCCTTTCTGCCCCCTACACTGCTTGTACTTTGTGCTGTCTTCGGTTGGTGATATTACGTAACAAAGCATTGTTCCCTTTCGCATTAACTTGAACTTCCTAGTTCACCGGCACCGTTCTTTCAGCCCGTGCATTAATCAATTCTTTCCTCATGGCAGTCTTCATCGAACAGCCATGTTAAATATGAAATTCACCCATCTTTCTGCCCGCTCATAAATCAACTCCTTCCTTATGGCGACGCTCAGCGCTGATATCTGGATAAGAGGGGAATCCATCATCTTCTGTTGATATGAAGTGTGACAGCCCAATAATAGTCTTGAGACGAGACACATGTTATGGAAGTAGTCTGCGCCGATTCTAAATGTTGAAACTTTAACAATAGTAACCGGTGAGCACTTGAGCGTCGAGGTGAGCCTATCATGGCATGTGCTTTGCTATTAAACTTGTGTTAACGTTCTACATGTTCGATACTTTATAATCTAGCGGACTCCTAATCACCACACGAACGAATGGAGATTGTCTGGTTTAGACTAGGCTTGCTATGTTGAAGATATTCATGCCATTCCCAGTGCTCTACAGGACCTCTGTAGCAGTGCCATGCGTCTCCAGCAGCCCTTCACTGTGATATCATGGTTCAGACTCGAGCACTGTAACGCTATGCCCCACGGTGTAAAGGTGGTGCCGGCACTCTTCCAAGGGAGTGGCGCCAAGCGAATCATCTAACACATTCGGTTCGAACTAGTTTTGAATGTAGAATGGAGACCACATTTTGTTACGAATGTGGTGTAAACCAGGTCATTATCGAACTCACACAGCAAGTCAACAACATCAGAAAGCAAGCGTTTCGTTCTTACAAGGCAGTGATCGGCAGATGGGGGAGTTTTACACAGCATACAAAAGGGAAGTCAAATGATTGATACATTCATATCCACGATTAACAAGGTCACAGCTAATTATTGTTTCGATAAAAGCAACGTTAGTCTTATGACTCGTGAGATCACGATTATCTCCCTTCCATGTCCATAACCCTCGACGACCGTGATTTCAGTTTCACTTATGATGGTTCATGGTTTCATGGCGGTCAAGCGGGATTCGAATACGATAACACTACCACAGGAACGAATACGGCAGGGTCGATGGCCTTGTTCAATTTCTCTGGTTGGTGCCAATCTTCCTGGTACTGTAGAATTTGTAAGCTCCTTGTACTGACGTGGTGCGCTATTAGGTATCAGCGTTAGCGTCTTTGGTACCGTCGGTCCCATTGTTTACCAGGGGAATGACGTGGGAGCCTCAATCTCATCATACCAGGTTGACGATCAACCTGCGGTGACTTTTACAGCTCCTGCACAAGGAGGAACTCTGTTTCACTACAACTTTTTTACTTCTCCTACATTGGGCAATGGTCCACACCAATTAAAAATCACCAATCTCAATCAAAGCAGCTATCTTTGGCTTGACTATGTTCAGTATACCCCGTTGTCAGGTAAGATTTTTCATATCACGAAATCCACAATATATAATCTTATGATGACTTGGAGCGCGGCGTCCACCCGCGTGCGTCTCACGTGCGCTTACTTGACCAATTTCTACTACCACTACCATTCAGAAACCTACTAACGTTACCATCATTAGCTTCGCTCCATCACTTACAACATTGCCGAGTCCTCGTGCTCACGAAATAAAACTCCACTTTACTTCATTTGGTTGCGAGCACATCATCAATTCCTTATAAGCTGACCCTTTCATCTGCGTCATCTTGCTGTTTGAACACCGCAGCTCCAAAACATGTCGACGTCATTTACGCACAACGAAAAATATAAATTCTGAGTCGTTCTTCATCAGTTTGCCCACGCATCATTTGTGTTTTACGACTTGATCTATTATGCCCGGTTCATCCATGAATCCGTCTTGATGATATTTCACACAGTCGTATACTACAGTGCTGACACTGTAAAAGAAGATGATCAGCTCATAGCAGATCACCCTGAAGCGACACCTGATTTTCTCGCAATTCTCTCACAAAATGGAATTCCAAAGCACGAACTTTATCTCAAGCAGGGCTGTATTTGCTCACTTAGGCGCAATATGTCTGTTCAGAAGGAACTGGTGAAGAATGCACGCCTCATCATACAACAATTGCACCGCCGTTATGTCAAGGTTCGAGTCATCAACAACAGGACAGGTCAACTTGGAGATACTTAATACATCCCCCGCATCCACTTCGAATTCACACCCCCACGCGTAAGTTAGACTGTTCATCGTCTACAATTTCCCCTCCGTCTTGCATATGCAACGACTTTCAATGGTTGCCAAGGTCTAACCCTTGACAAGACCGTTCTCAACCTTCGCTGCGAAGTCTTCGCACACGGTCAACTGTACACAGCCCTTTCACGGATCCGTCAACGAGACGATTCACGCATCCTATTTTCAGAAGACAAACCAAATGACGATTTCAATACGTCCAACGTCGTGTATAAAGAATTGTTATTAGATTTGAACTAGATCCATCCAACGAGCCGCGCAGCGGCAAGCACTTGTATGGCATATTTTTATCGTGGGCGCTAGCGGCATCACCTAGCCCGTCATCTCCGGCAACTACCAATAGCCAACAACCCATTTCAACACCATCTTCGACTGCTCCCGAGCCTCTAACTAACACACCGTCCTCATCCTCATCGCCATCGTCCTTGCCAGTCCCTCAAACTTCAGTACAAACTACCAAGAAAAACAATGCGCCAGTGATTGGAGGTGTGGTCGGAGGGGCAGTACTGGTTGTGGCTGTACTGGCGCTGATTTTTTACCTGCGGAGACAACGCAATGCTCAAGCAGTAGTTGGAGAAACAAGTTTGTTGATTTCTAAAATGAGAGTTCATATTTTAATTTTTATATGTGGACACAGATGTGGACAATGCTCTTAACCCTTTCGTATCTCAGGTTCGTAGCAACCACCCCTTCTCCATGACGTCGAACACGCCTCTCGTTGGGCTCGATGATTGGTCCCGTTCGAATCGTCCCCGGTCTTCTGTTGTCCCACCATCTGTCGTAGGCATTGGGAGCGTGAGTCGTGTTGAGGACCTGGAGGCCGATGCTTTCTTCCCTCGCCAGGTAGCCAACGAGGAACAAGTCTACCTACATGAAGACGGTGGTGTCCGGATAGCTGGTGGTCCGCTCCGCGGACGGGTGGACATTCCTCCTGAGTATCGAGAGTACTTGTGATTAATTTGCGTAGTTTTCACAATGGTTTGTCCGGGAGATGCATTCATTGTCCTGCTAAAAATCTAGACTCCTTTAAGTGCTGCCGTACACTTTAATTCCGCATTAAGGACTTCTGATCATGTTGCTGATGTGTCGGCCCGAGGAATTAGATAACAGTGCACAATGTCCATCTGGCTGGTGCTCCAGTACTGCAGTCATTCGCGCAAGGTGGGATCTTAGTTACTCTGAGGCTCGTGCAGGGAGAATACGTGATTCATGGCGTGAGCTCAAGCACAAGTTAAACTTCTTGACTTCGATCGCAGATCTGCCCAAGACACGAAAATGATGCTCGGTGGCCAGCTTTGCGCAGGGTCGCAGGATGCACTGATCAAGTCCAATACTCGATGCGAGGCGTACTACTATCATGGAAAGGAACATGCAGTGATACAGAGCGAAAGGTTGACGAGGATACAAAAATACTCCGCAACGCTGGGTCGACGGGTGTGGTGAAAGACAGAAACAACAAACACTAGATGCATATTACATTCGCCCATGAAAAACTCCAAAGCCCGCTCGTACCTCCTCCGTACAACTTAAAAAACATTGCAAGGCTGAATATAATTGCAATAACCAGCAACATGACCAACGATGAAGACCTTTCGAATCTGTGTTGCATCGCAAGCCTCGCAACAACCAACTGGGAGGGAGGGCCTTTAGCACCGGCGTCATCAATGGCAGCGATTTCCTCAGCGGTGAGTGGTGCTTCATGATCTGAATTAAATTGACGTCGCACTTCATGATTTGAGACATACGAAGATCTTCGACAGCGAGGTACTCTTGAAGGCGTTCCTTGCTCCGGCTCGTCCTTTAGTGATGGGAGTGACATGAGACACGAAGATTACATGGAGAATAGATGGACATACGTGACGATTGCTACACCCTTACTTCTGACCCAAGAGAAAATGACCTGATTCGGAGTTGCTCCTATACGCTTAGCGGCGGCGTTGACTACCGCATCGACCGGTCCTCCAGGGTTCTGCGTAATAGAGCTGGTCATGCAGAAATCAGCATTGTTCAAGTTTGGAGCAACGAATTATTAGGAGCGGCCTGAGGACTCACTTCAGACTTCCATATGCTTCCACCGTGATACTCTGCTTTGCGCAGTACTCAAGCAAAGCTTTTTGCGAGGCATAATTATACGGGTGGAATCGAATCTGTACGAGTTGGTTACATCTGATGCCGGGTTCAACTGGTGAAATTCACTTGGTTGACAGCAGGTTTCGTAATCGCAGTTTTCAGGAGTTTCTGGAGGTCCTCTAGGGTAAAGTTGCTGACACCAATGCTCCTGATAGCAGTGAAGACCAATGAATCCTGTTCGAGTCGCAAAGAGCACACCTTGTCAATCCATCTTTCTTCATCTTCTCGAATTCTTGCCACCCAGATTCAAAGTCAGAAAAGAGATCCGGGAAGTGCACCAGATACAAATCAACATAAGAAAGACCCATCTGAGCAAGCATATGATTAAGTCCGTGCAGCAACTCGTGGGTGATATGTGAAGCCTAACCTTGTTCAAACTTTGTTGAATAGCCTCCCGCGGTGATGCACCAGAGCTGTACTTAGTAGTGATATACAGACTCGAGCGAGGAAGACCGCTCTCCTTGATAGCTAGGCCCACGTAGGCTTCTGTCCGATATACTTATACCAGAGTAAATTTCGAGACATGAGATTCTAATAATCATTGCAATTAGAACTTAAAAGTGACATACACTGTGCGGTGTCGATATGGGAAAATCCATTCTCAATGGCCTGTCCCACGTAGTCTGTGACATCCTTAAATATCATGCTGGTCCCCGTGCCAAAAGCTATTACGGGGAACTGGGACACAGCACAGCACATATCAGCCTGAGGTCACACGGTAATGCAAACTTTTATAATTAGTACGATACCTCATTTCCATCGTTAAGAGTGACGGTACCAAATGGCATAGTAGCTGGGAGTAGGAACGAAACGTATGATTAGAACTTAGAAGACATCCTAGCTGGCAGCATCCGGCCGGCGACTCAACCGTTGCCGAAAGATCGTTTTGAGCCTTTCGTAATTACACCTTTCAAGTTTGCCTTTTCCCTGGGGGCAGCGAGGATTAACCCGTTCGACGTCATCTCAAAGCCCGACCTCAAGTGTTTCTCGCCGGGCGTACTAGCTATTTTGACGCGACACTGACGAGCCTGGTCCTTGACGCGCTAGTGCAACTCATTCCTATGTTATATTCGACTCCCACATCAAGTTGTATGGGTTCATGATCATTCCTTCGTTGATTTTATTCACCATAAGCACATATACTACTAGCTAGTCATCAGCTAATGACTATTTTCTTGGCACTAACGCGGCACTGACGAGCCTTGACGCGGCCACTGACGCGTCAGTGTTCTACATTAAGGACACACACTAGCCAACGACTATTTTCTTTTCCTCCCTTTCTGGACCCTCTTTGAAGCACGTTGACACTTAACTGGCGCGCATTCTTGAGCTGGCAGTGAAGGGCGACGTTTCACAGGTGCAATTTCTTCTTCAGCCGGTAGCGAAGGAGCTACAACGTCAGACAACTTGTCTGTAGACGTGGCATCAGAATTATCGCTGAACCGGCCATGGGTCCCATGCGCCAGTCCTTCGAACGCCTCGTGTTCACGGCCCCCATGGCTTAAACAAAAGCCCTCGTCTCCCGGAGGTGCTGTGTAGGGTAGTGTCTCGACGTCCATACCATGGTCAGCAATCATACTCTCAACTACATCCTGATCTTCTGCCGACATCTCTGTGATGTATAAAAAAAGGATTAAAACAGCAGAAAACAAAAAGGGTCGATAAACGAACCTCGAATTTTAGCTTGGCAGAGTGCATCAGCTGCATCCTTGCGCTGGCGTTGTTTTCCAGCTGTAAGAATTCGTGATTGTCGTTGGCATCCTCTGAAGCTGTGTGAGATTATGGACTTCGACAGTCCAGTGATCTTGATGTGGCCTGAGGCGCGAGGCATGGAGGTATAAATATTATGGGGGAAGCCACACTGATGACAGAAGGATGAGTGGGCAGTCGAGGTGGCGAGGCAGCAACAGGAAAAGTAATGCAAGTATAGCAGGTAGGCTCCTACAATGACAGCGGCAGTGAGCAAGGCGAGGATGGGCTGCTGGTCAAGGTGGCGAGGCAGCGCTCGGTCTGGATGGGAAAATCAGTGCAAAGACTGCAGGTGGGCTCCTACAACAACGGTGACAACGAGCTTGAGCTACCCTGGGGACAGGTTGTAGTGGTCCAAGGAAAGGGAGGGCGGGGCAACGCCGTGGTAGGCGTAGACGCTATGTAGGACGCTGACGGGAAAGGGTAAGGCGCGTGGGAACGCTAGGGCGCGTAGATGGACATGATAGGTGCCATGGCAGGGGCGGGCAGATTACATACGCCTAGGATTACCTCCGAACATGGATAGGTGGATAGGTGAAGGTCGTAGATGATTTGGGGCAGTATTTAATGCCGGTGTTGAGGTTTAACCCAAGTAAGCCTAATAATAGCACGTAATCACCAAGTATAATAAGGCTTACAAATTGGGCAACCCACGTGACGGGGCCAGTCGCGTCACAGGCGCGTCACGACCGCGCCAATTTCACCTGGCCCTTTCTCGCCTCTTGCATTCGACCACTAGTCTCGCAAACTGTTGCCTTTGTCATACGTTTCCCACCCTCGTGATCATCCTTCCACCTGCCTTTGTTTCCACACATCAAGCTCTTTACAATTTGAGCTCGGCGCTCTGTTCTCGTTTCACGCAAACTCGGAAGAATGAAAATATCGAGGAGGCCATTCGACTCTGCCAAGAGTCGTTGGAGGCTTTGCCTTCACTGCACCCGAGTAGATATTTCAGCTACAAGTGATTGCAGGAAGCCTACTTGTCTCGTTACCGAGTACAACGCAACTCTGCTGATCCGTCACTTCCTGTAGAGAACTTCAGACTGGCATCACAGCATCCCACTCACGGATTCCCGGCACACATTGCAGGGGATATAGAATGGGCTCGCTAAGCAGAAGTCTATCAACATGACTCTGCCCTAGAGGCATACCAAACGTACTTTGAGCTTTTCGACAACCATGTGATGGCACGATCGTCGGTTATCTCACGGCGCGAGGCCGCAACCGCTTTCCGCAGCGCCCAATCACTGCCAGTAGATGCAGCCTCGAGCGCCATCCGTTATAGTCCTCTGCAACGAGCAGTTGAACTTATAGAGCAGGGTCGTGGCCAACAGTGGTCGCTGGCCTCTCGACTCAGAACTCCGCTGGAAGACCTGAAGCTTGCAAGTCCGGAACTAGCTCACAGGCTCTCAACCAGCGCCTGTCTGATGCTCAGGGTTCCGTCGGCAGCGCTGACCGAGCAGCTGCTGATCAATCAGCAATACAGTACAGGAGACTTCAGGAGCAGTGGGAAGCTGCGGTAGCTGAGATCCGTAATCTTAAAGGTTTCTCGCGGTTCCTGCTCCCGCCTTCGTATCAAGACTTGCAAGCGGCAGCACGTCATGGCCCAGTCACCATCCTCGTTGCGAGTCAATATTCATGCGGTACCATTGTTCTCCCGACATTAGGAGAGCCCCGCCACGTTCGCTTTCCGCGCATCACTCTCCCAGATTCAGAGATGCTCAAAAACGATTTCACTGAGGCAATACAGCATACGGCTCGTATGCGCCCGGAAGAGCTGAGGAAGAAGTTGCGAGTACTCTTGCGGATAGTATGGGACGAGATCATACTTCACACAGTTAACGTCCTCCAGAGTGACCTGAAATTGCAGCCTCAGTCTCGAATATGGCTGTGTCCGACGGCAGCCTTCACGTCCGTCCCTCTCCATGTAGCTAACCCCTTTCGAATGATAGCAGATCGTTCTGGGGGAGAGCCATGCCTGGAGGATCTCTACATCTGCTCTTACCCGCCCACAATTTCAGCTCTTATTAGAGGTCGGCAGATGATGAAGACGCATGCGACTCCCTCCTTCGCGACAATCGGACAAAGTCAACCGGGCGCAAGGCAAGGTAGAGTGCTCCCCGCTGTCAACAGAGAGCTGAAGCTTGTCCACAGACTTGTTCCCCCCCCAATGTCAAGTTCACCAATATCTCTGGCGACAAGGGTGTGGCGAGCTCACATGAATGCAAACTCTGGATTCTGCAAATGAACCCAGAGATTACATTCATGTCCCCGGCCATCAAATGTCCGTCGTGCATAACGATGAAAGACTGATCGATTCCACATTATATAGTGAGATTGAGCCACTGTTTGTGGCTTAGTGCACGAATCGAAGAGGCAAGTGCACTCGAAGCTTTGCGACGTAACACCTGGGTGCACCTCGCTTGTCATGGCACGCAAGACCGAAAGAAACCTTACAATTCACGTTTCGCCATGAGAGACAAACCCCTCACGCTGCTTGAAATCATGGAGAACAACTCCGCAGGCTGAATTCGCGTTCTTATTGGTATATCATACCGCTGTTGGTGATGAGGAGACGCGCGACGAGGTCATTCACCTGAACGCGGCTGTACTCTTACTCTTACCTTGACCCCCATCATCCTCGTTAGTATCAAGAATACACCGTTGTCTCGTTAATTGCTTGTGTTGGTTTTCCGTGTAACTCGTCAGATACGAGTTTCCAACTAGCTACTTTGTAAGTTGTCATCGTTGCTTGGGTAGCACTAGTACAACGGCTTGCTGACTATCATCATGCACGAAAACTGTCGACATATACCAGAGGCTGCGAAACAAGCACACAAGTGACAGGGATGCAGCCATCAAACAGTCAATCGAGTGCTTCGGCTCTCGCAATGAAAAACGTCGCAAAGCTGAATATAATTGCAATAGCCAGCACATGACCAACGATGAAGACCTTTCGAATCTGTGTTGCATCGCAAGCCTCGCAACAACCAACTGGGAGAGGGCCTTTAGCACCGGCGTCATCGATGGCAGCGATTTCCTCAGCGGTGAGTGGTGCTTCATGATCTGAATTAAATTGACGTCGCACTTCATGATTTGAGACATACGAAGATCTTCGACAGCGAGGTACTCTTGAAGGCGTTCCTTGCTCCGGCTCGTCCTTC